ATATTTTATAAAAAAAGGTTTAAGTTTATCAATCTTTTCAAGTGGGATATCAGCTTTAGTGAATGCTTCAACAAGATATAAATTTATTTCTTGTTTTTCTGATCTAATTTGATAAATATTTGGAATAGTTATTTGTAAAGCTTCAGTATCCTCATCAACTTCTTTTTTCTTTTTTAAATGAGTTGGTGAATTTATATGAGCTTCGATAACAGACTTACGTTTATGATTAACTACATGATTACAAAATTTACAATATAATTTTTTATTTTCTAAACGAAAATGAACTTTAAATTGAGAATTTTTTGATAATCTCTCTGATGCTGAAACCATTTTGAAAAAAAAGATATAGATAATCACGATGATCAATCAATTAATATTTATTTTTTAAATGGTCAATACATAATAGATCACATGAAAAATGCAAAAAACTGATAAATTGCTTTAAAAGTATGATACATGTGTGATGCGAAATTATAGTGCATAAATGCGAAATTATGCAAATGCATAAATCTGTAGGCTCTAATCACGTGTTACAAAATTTTCAGTTACATGATTCTAATTATTACGATTTTTTGTAGATGCAAATTTATTTAGATATCAGAAAATGCTAGAAAAGCGAATGAAATGTATATAAAAGATTATTTTACGCAAGAGAACATTCCCGAAATAAAGTAATTTCAGATCTACTGTATAAATTCAGGGATTAGTAAATGAGGCAAAAAAATAATACATTATCAATCACACTTACCATTACCTCTTATTTTTAGAACATTCCACTTTGTCTCGTATTTAAGAAATTTATTGCTTAATGAGTTATAATAAAGGTGTTTCGATTTTTTTTAATACTACACCAAATATTAAGAATACGGCACGTGAAGATGCTTATGCCGAAAAATTTATTAGATATACTGCACCAAATTTTATTGAGAAGCGTGATGTTAAGGCATGTGATGAGATTCATGTGAATAATTTCACTGCGCCTATTATACGTGTGATGATGGTCTGTAATTTTCTTGGTGAATCAAAATGCCGATATATAACAAGAAGAGTAATATGTCCGTTTTATTTTAGAACATCTAATAGAAGCAGAAATCGATTAGCATCATGATGACATGTTTCAAGAAGTTAGTCAGACAATAAAATCAACATACCTTATTATTGCTTTGCGAAATATACTTATTTGATTGATTGATGATATTGTCAATGTTAATAATGGTAGGTTTAAAATTTTATTAGATTTTTCATTTGATTTTTTGCTTATATTTCACAAGACGGATAAAAGGGTTCAAAATCTTTCTATATAATTTTTAATGGGTTTAAGGTTCAATTTTCAGAATAAATCTTTGGGAAATTACATTATTATGATTCATCACAAAAATCAGATCAACAAATGCTTCCTAAAATTATAATAGATACAGGGATCATGTCCCTGGATTAACAAGGGAAACTTTTTATTATTAATACATGCAATAGCTTGAGTATATGCAGAAAGTTTCAAGAATAAATTATATAGTGCAATGTTCTAATGATATTACGCATTTATAGGATCTGAATCCTCAGATGAAAAAACTGAGAAATATTAGCATTACACAGATCACTTTGCCAAGAAAATTTTTATTAATACATGCTAAAAATAAATACAAATATTCAGGATGTAGCTATTCTGAAATGATACATGATGTCTATGTAATATATATCCTATTTTTTGAACGATATTCCTCAATTCTAGCCTTTTTCTTTGAGGGAGGATCGTTTTCTACACATGCCCTATCCTTTAATAATCTTACTACAACGCCTAACACCTTTTTCACACTATTACATAATATTTGATATTCTACAGATTCTTTATCCAAAGTATCTTTGAAAAATTTAATGCTAAATGGTAATTTACTGCCTTGTGAAATTTTTTCTGAAGTATAGAGTAGGAAGTGCTAGTCCTAAACTGTAGTAATAATACCATAGAGATAATTGAAATTGTCATCATCATTCTGCTTCCATTTTCTCAAATTTGTTTGGCATGAGCTCTCTAGTTGTTTGATATTCTGAACTAAACCTTCAATTAGATTTTACTCTGATTTGTCTTCAATGACACAAATAAGATTCTCAGCTTTCTGAAACACAAGTATGGTATTAGTATATTTTCAAAAAAATATCAGAAAATTGATAGGTCCTGGAAAAAAATTAACATAATACCTTGATTGCGAAGTCAACCTGTCCTGTGCTATCATCATTAATTATTTCGTACTCAGGTCTTGTGCTGAGCTCTTCCCTTGTAGAATCTCTTATAATATTGATTGCGATATGAAGAATCGTCACAACATATTCATTACGCATAGCTTCTAAGCTATCAATGACCAAAGTGTCGTAATTTTTTAGCCTGACTAAAATTTCTGCCATACAATATTTGAAGTGCTTGTTAGACTCTTGAATTTCATGAGTTTGTAGAGAAAATAATGGGATTTTGTCAGTGTTCTTGCTTTTAAGACCATATCTTATTAAAACTTTCTTCAAACTTCAGTATAACGAGAACGCTTTTAATTTTTTATCCTTACAGTCTAGCGAACTTCGCGAGTTTTTTTGCTAGCCTTAATTTCATTTCATGATGTTCAAACTCTTTTTGAGATAAGTCAAGGAAGTTACGATCATTAACCTCTTTCTCTTCTAAAATTTTGATAGCTGTCTCACTAAGACCTAAGTCCTGTCTTTACAAAAATTCTATAAGCTTGGCTATGTCATAATTTTTTATTTCGTTCACCAGTGTGATCGTCTTATTTCTAGCAACAGAAGTAGAGGTGAAAGCTGAAGTATAAGATGTATTAGTTTCAGACATAGTATTACGTATTTACAGAAATATTAGGCTCAGATAAAAAAATAATGTTACATTCCAGAGTGAGATAAAAATTTATTTCTGCTTGACAAGGAAATTATTAGGCATTAATATAGGTTTTTATATCACATAGGTATTGCATTATCACACGTGACCTATTTCTCATATACTAATAAAATAATAATACTTTATTTATGAAATAAAAGAAATAAAAAAATGTTGCTAGAACCAGCCTACAATATATAAAAATTGCAACTATAGTGCTACATGATACTGAAAATTACAATTGAGATAGAGAGTAAACTAAGATGTTAAAGTGGTTTGCTAGAGGTTCTTTAGAAAAAAAGACAAAAATTAGGCTCTGCTAATGCATTTCAATTTCAACAACATTACTAGATGAATTTTACAAAGTCTGAGAGGTTTATTGCTAAATGGTGCCTCCAGTTTATCTTGAATTGCAATTTCTAGATCGCTAACATGATTGCTTGAGTTAATTGTAATCGCTTATATTAGTTTAATAAATGAAATATTTATGAGATCCCCTTTTGGAACAATAAGACAGTTGAGAGTGATATTGCCATTTTTTCACTTTCCTAAATACAAGGCTTATAGTGAGAAAAAACTCGCTTCTATACATTACATAATTTAAGACATATATATACTTTATTTTACATTATTTTTGAGTGTGAAAAGTTGGCTGAACTTTTACATACTTTTACATGCTTATATCTTGCTATTGAAAAGAAAAAAGAGCGTCAAGCTAAAGTTAAAGAGGTATGAGACCAAGAGTTCTATGAAAGCACATGTAAATGAAATCCTCATATCTTTTCACATGTAGATCTACCTTACAAGATATATAGTTAGTTTTACGCCTAGTGATCTCAAAACTTCAAAGTTCTCAGTCTTTTATAACATATACTTTTTTGACACTATTTACTTTTAGAGTTGATCCTGTATTGCATATAGACCTCCTTTCACATTTTCTCACATTTGTTTGAGAGAAAAAATAAAGGTATTAGTTAGCGAATATATATGTGAAATTAATATGCGAAAATGTCATATAGACCTATTATGTGATCAACCTATTTTTGTCGCACAATCTATGGCTCAACAAATTCTTCTGAGTTAAAGATTACTGACCTTAGATTGACCAATATATACCATCCAGCCAGGTCCTGAAGGGACCTCATATTTCTGATCAAGTTCAAATGGATAATATGAAAATTCTATTAGACTTATTATTTGTAGGAGATAAATAACATTAGATTGTAAGAGTACATGGAATAATGAAGTTAGATTACTTATACTGGGTAGACTATATACAAATCACTTAAGTATTTTCTCTCTCTAATACTTAACCGCTTTTTTGTTCTAATGGGTCTTAATTTCACAAAAAAGGTCATTCCGGTCATGTCAAATCATCATCATAAATAGTTCAATCCTCTTTTCTCTGTCCATATTCTTTAGTAAATTCATTGAAGACTTTCTTCTTCTTAGCATCTATATTCTTATCAAACATTTTGCTAATATTGTAGATCAATTATACTTAATAAAAAATAAAGTACTGGTAGTGTGCATAGCTTCTTTTCAGTATATATAAAAATTAATATATCATACAAGATCTGATTGATGATCCACTTATTTTTTATTACACAATCTAGCTAAAGGTACTATGCATAGCTTAGCAAATTCTTTCAAGCTAGTGATTACTGTTCTAGTTGATAATCAGTATTTCAGACACAAATTTTAATATATGCTAGTTAAAGATAAATACAATCATGATAAGTAATACTAATAATAAATTTGTTCAAACTGAAATGCTTGAAATTCAACTATATGAAATGCTTTTGTACAAGAAGATGGATGTATTAATTATTCATGAATGCTTAGCTGAAAGAAATCTTGATATTAATGACAATGCAAATCAAATAGCATTGAATCAAAGCAAGAAATCAGAATACTTGATTATATAAGTAAATTATTGTTTAATTTGGTAGAGAAAATTATATTGATATAGGAGGATCTTAAAATTGGTTGTCACCCAACTCTTAATACATTATATCAATATAGAGAAGATCTTATTGATAGATCATTAGGGGAATTTTTACTTAAAAAAAAATATCTATCTGGAAGAGGATATAAGCATTATTTAAAATTATCTTAGTATTATCAGTTATACTGACAAAGAAATGATAAAAAAAAAAGCTGAGAAAGATGTGAAAGCATATATTCAAAAGTTTAAACGTTTCAAGTGTGATAATACAGAAATTCATCAATAGAAGGTAAAATGTTAATCTATATTTTTTATTATACAGGATATAATCTAGCAAAAAAAAATCTAATTAATGATCATACAAAATACCTCTCGATTCACTCTAGACTAGCTAGATTATTCAGACTCTAATTCAATTTTAGAGCTAAAAGATTCTGAGTCAGAACAGTAATAATCTTTATCAAAATTTTTGATATGAATATTTGGATTTAGCTGGTCTATGGCTTTTTTGCTAATATTTCCACATTCTTCCAAATCTAGAAATTTTAAATTAAGATATAAGCGAGCAATTTCTTTGATAGTCATACTGGTAATATTATAATATCCAAGGCTGAGATGTTAAATCTTCAGGCAGAAGCGAATAATATTGTAGATTGATAATTCACTAATAAATATATAACCACTTAAATTGAGATATTCTAATTTATGACAAGAATAGGCTAATACTTCAGTAACCTCATCACTAATATCATTATAACTGATCTTTACATGTCTTAAATTCAGAGATCCTTTGATGATGGCTATAATTAATTCATCATTTCACAAAGCCATAGTCCTACTAAAGTCAAGATACTCTATTTTGAAGTGTCTTTGCATCAAAGTACTAGCATCTTTAACATTCTCCTTACTATATGCAATATCAAGATTTCGTAAATTTAGGTATGAGTTTAAGATGTAACTTATAGATTTATCTGTAATCTGACGTGCTTTGGCAAAATGAAACACTTGTATATTATAACAATTTTCTGCAATTTCAAACAAGGATTTATTAATAATATTTCTGCAATAAGAAATATTTAGATATTTTAATTTACAGCATGATTGTACAATTGCACATAAGCCTTTATCAGTTATTGCTTAAGCATCTTACAAATTGAAATATCTTAAATTAGGATTTAATTCCGCTATTATAAATAGTGATCTATTACTAAAACCTATACTATTTTTGAAATCTAAATGATTTATATTCAAAAATGTATCCAGAATACTTTTTATTTTTTTATCTAAAAGTGAATGATAATAAGTAATTTCTAGATGGGTTAGATTCAAAACATAAGCTGGTTTATGCTTTTCATTCATTATTTTTATAAATTTTTCTAATTAAAAATAATTCTTAACATTATAACCATACTTCTGATTATTTTCCTTTAGCTCAATGTGACTCTATAGGATAGGAGTACTGTATCTGTACTATAATTGAGAAACAAATAGAGTGGGATAGAGGGATTTATCTATCACTAAAAAATGTAAAATCTGTTCTAATACTTTTGCAATATTAAAAATACTTAATTGCATCATAATTAATTTATATTATATATTGTATCTTCAAATGAAAAAAATACGTAATCACTACTTTAGACTAATTAGCTTAGTCTAATCAGCTAGTAAATTATTAATAGCTTTCGACATTAAAATGAAATTCAGATTATTAGCACCATTACAATCCCTTATCTTTCACTTTAATTTTACCAATTCACAAACATTATATTGGCTAAGATATTTATCTATTATACTAATATAATAAGATAATACATCTATGATATTTTCAACATGAACATTTGGAATATGCTGATATATGGCTTCTTTGCTGATATTATAACAACCCTTTAGATCAAGATATTTTAAATTAAGATATAAACTAGCAATTGCATTAATAGTTATATCAATAATCACCATATACTAGGAAATATTGAGATATTCTAATTTACGGTATCTCAGTATGACTATTAATAGCCATTATCAGTTATTTCAGTATTCTATCACCAGCTCTCAACATTAAGGTGAAAATAATACCTCGAGTCAGAGACTGACCAGCTATAGATGTATTAGAATCAAACTACCAAAATACCTAAGATAGAACTGAATTTTGATTATTAGCATAGAAAATCATTAAATGCGCTAATAAAATCAGAAAGTGTTAAAGTTTTCACAAAATTCTCAACATGAATATTTGGATTAAGTGAAATGAGCTGATCTACAGCTTCTTTACTAATTATATAACACTCTTTCAAATTAAGATACTTTAAATTAAGACATGAATCAGCAATTTCTTTGATAGTTATATTAGTAATTTTACAAAAGTTAAGGCTAAGATGCTGAAGCCTTAAGCAAGAACGAATAATATTACAAATTGATAGTTCATGAATATCTTTGCGATGAGAAATATTTAGATTTTCAAATTTATAATATGACAGAGCAATTGCATATAGACCTTCATCAATTATTATACCCATATTATAGAATATATATTTGTTCTTTTGTAAATTAAGATACTTCAGATTAGAGTATGATTCTGCTATTCGTTTTAGTGTTTTGTTATTAAATCCTGTGGTATAATTGAAATCTAAATAAATTATATTTGGGAACAAGCACATAATACCATTGAATTTTTTATTCGAAAGTAAGTGGTAGTGTAAAATTTTCAGATAAGTTAGATTTGAGCTATAAACTAACTTTTGTCTTCTATATATTATTTTCATAAATTTTTTCAATCAAGAGTGATATGTGTTATCTCCCTTTAGCTTAATGCATTTCCATAGAATGGGAACATTATACCTGTATCAAAGTTGGCAAATAAATAGAGCAGGATATAGTGACTTAATTACCGCTAAGAAATATAGAATCTGCTCTAATAGTTCTGGTAAATTTATAACATCCAAATATGTCATAAATAATATATGCTGTATCTTTAACAAAAAATAAAATTACGCATATTAATGATCACTGCTTTGGATAATTATTATTCTGCATTAGATTCATATTTTATTTCTTTAAAATAGAATTACAAAATTATCGTTTAATAATAGTTTTGAATTGCATATATCTAAAGTTGCACAATTTTTTTGAAACTATGGTATTTCTAATACTAAGTTAGAATAATAATCAAGCCAATCTAGTTCAAGAACTATGAATTCAACAGGTGTACTTTTATGCTTCTTACCATCTTCAAAACTAATATGCAGATTGACCTTTCCTAATGTAGAATAAGATGCATCCGGAGTTGCAATGCTATTGCTTTCACTATAATATATAATTCCTAATTCACCAATATGTTTTTGGCTAATGCAATTTACATCAGTGCATATATCAATTGATATCTCAATAGAGATATTTTCTTCAACTGTATAATTTACAAATACCATTTTCTTATGGCATATATAATATTTAAATATAAAATTAAACCTTTATTCAATGCTCGGTAAGATAATCAAGTGATCATGCAAAGTACCTGATTTTTCAAATTCCTCTGGCTCAGCCCATTTTAAATTACTAACTGTTTAACCTTTTTTGGTCATACCTTCCTTTATTGCTTATGAGAGATAGCCTCATTTTCTCTTATTATAATTGTCTTGACTAAATCAGATTCTTCGGAAGACTCAAACAAATAGGAGAAACCTTACCTTTTTTAGCAATTATCAAGGGAACTTTTTCTTGTATTAAGTTGACCACAGTCTCTATATATACACATTTGTTCAGTTCTACATATTCATTCAGATCTTCTAATTCAGTCTCTAAAGACTTTACATCTCTCTTTAATCTTTTTACTTCTTTTCTAAAATGTTGTATTAGAAATAATAATTTTCCAATTATTTCTTTAGCGCTCTATTTTTACCAGAAAGTATACTATATACCTTTGCATTTTGCTTATCTAGTCTAAATACCTAAGCTAATATCTTTGTATATTTGATAACTTCCTGCTCTCTGGATGCATCAGATGAATAATTTAGATCAGTTACCATTTTTACAATATTTTATATAAGATATATCTATTTTTTTTCTCATATTTATTCAAAAAAAAAAACTCTATTGGATAAGATATTAGAGTAAGTTATTCTGGTTAAAAGAATAGATTATCTTTCACAGATCGATAGATTAAGGAAGGTGAAAAAATAAAATTTAATAAACAAGTAAAAAATAAAATTAATAAATAGTATCCTGCGATTTTAATAAAAATTCCTTAATATTTTATATGATTAATTTTTATTAAAGAGCTTAATTGCCTTTATTTAATGATACAGTTCTTTTCTTAACCCTATAAAAAATTTGCATATATTTTTTCATTATTATAAATAAGTTTTGTATATGTTTTTTAAATTTCCATAACACATTTCCTTATATTTTATAAGGAATTTTTTTTAGCATTTTTTTTATAAAAAATGATGTATAAGAAATTGTTAATTAATAATATATAAAAATAATAAAAAAA